TTTTTTTTTTTTTTTTTTTTTTTTTTTTTTTTTTTTTTTTTTTTCCCTATAATTTACTATTCCGAAAGGAAGCAATTAGTTACGCCATAAACCACATCCGACGAATACAGTAGTTGTAATGAAACAAACAAACGCCCAAATACTACTTGCCGTTCTCTTTAACGCCAAAAAAACGTTAACCGATTTCAACCGATCCCATAAAAAAACTAAACCGAACGCACCTCGAAACCCCCAGCCGACTGCACGCGGTGATATCCCTCGGCCTGCTGGAAGCCACGTGCTGGCTGATCGACATGGCCCCGCACCCCTGCTTGCTGGACATACGGAACGACGACGGCCTTACGGCCCTACACCTCGCGGTGATGGCCGGGGAGGCCCTGATCGTCCGGAGGCTCGTTCTTTCCGGCGCCGACAAGCAACTCCGCACCACTGCCGGCAACACGGCCCTGCACTTGGCTTGCCTCCGCGGCGATATTCGCTGTGCCAAAGCCCTCACCGACCAACCGTTTATCGACGAGGAGCGCCGTTTGCTCGCTAACCGCTGCAGATCGGCGCGGGCTGTGGTCGACAACGGCGAACTGGAGCTCAGGAATTACAATGGTGAGCCATGTTTGTTTTTCGTTTTTCGTTTTTTTTTTTGTTTTTTTTTTTTCCAAGTCGGGGTCCATTAGAGAACATTGGACGACAGAGTCGAATGATGTAATAAACGTGTACGGACGATGGGAAACGTCGAGAGCTCTCGGCTGAGGAAAAACCGGACGAGCACAGGTTTTTCCAAAGAGGAAGCATAAACGCGCGTTAACGACACCCAGGCGCTTACGCACCTATACCGCTCGTATGAACTATTGGACGCGGTAAAAGTGTCGTCTCGTTGAATGGCGGATTAGCGGCACAATGAGCGTTTAGAGGGCACACTTGCCTTTTACATGGTGATTTACTGACCCGTGGAACAATGGGAATTTATTACAGGGGTGGGGGGATGGGGATTAATGGGCCACGAAAAATTTTCAAGGCGAAAAAACAATGCGGCGTCTCGTTCAACTTCGGAAGTTGAAAAGGTGATTAAGATTAACGCGTCGGAGAAAAAAAGCCCACCGTATATAAACACAGCTCCCTTTAAGCCCGTGCGCCGATCGTATAGCCATTCCAACTTGTAAAAACGACAGATTAACAAAACCGGGGAATTCCCTCGCGGTGCAGTCTTTTTCGAAAAATCTATCTTTGAAAGATGACTGTGCCCCGCTGATGTTGAAAATTTTGTCCTCCAACTTCCTCCGTTCATATTGGAGCGGATCGGTAACCCGATCGATCTATTTTCGATCCACGAAGATCAAGAGTTATCGCTGGCCAAACGATGTTCCTTAACTCGGAAATAAATGGCAAAATCAACAATCACTGCGAAATGAAGGATACAAAAGTGCAGTGTACACCTGGTACCGATTTTAATTTCGGCGAAATCGTCCGGGTAAAAATACGCGTAATACATGTTACGTCGGAAAATAGGAGAAAATTCATACACGGATATATACACAAATGTCACAAAATTTCTCGTAGTCGAGTTGACGCGGGAGTTGGCGAATAGACACGATATACGTATACGCACGTATATTATATTGTATATACTGTATACACGAACATTAGCCATAGGGGGGCAAGTTGTACAGTAGAGCGCGTTGCACTCTCGCTCGCTCCATCACTCTCTGGGAAAACCCAGTCCCGCCAATGAGCGGAGGAGTTGGCATAGCGGTCTTGTGTGTATATATACTTATGTGGGAGCGACAGCAGGCGTTCTAGAAAGGCTCTCTTGTTACATTGGGGCACATACATCATCAATTTTTTTTTTTTTTTTTTTTCTTTTTTTTTCGTAGAAAAAATTTAGGGAATCTTTGGTTTCAAAGATTTGTTTGAAAGGTCTCTTATAACACGTCAAGGACGGGGAATTTTTTTTTTTTTTTCGAGCGCTCGGGTGATGTATGGAGGCATACACACATGACAGTCCACAGGTGAAATATGAATTATATATGATGGTGCATATTTTTTTTTCCTCAAGCTCGAGCGAGATCGTAATTTTTATTTTCAATCTACTCCGACTACGCGTACGTGCCTACTTTTAACGCGCGGCTCTTTTGACGCGAACACTCACAACGACAATAACAATGTAAATCGGGTTCATACTGCCGAGGACTCGTTAATCAACTCAATACGGCTGGACGCACTGGCCGAACCAATTCAGGTCAGATCTAACGTAAACGATTGACGATAAACAAGAAAAAACTCGCTCATGGTATTTAATGTACAAAAAAAAAAAAAAAAAAAAAAAAAAAAAAAAAAAAAAAAAAAAANAAAAAAAAAAAAAAAAAAAAAAAAAAAAAAAACCATACACGCGTCATGGTTGTCGTGCCTGCTTGTAAATCAAAATATTTCCTGATAAGATAACGACAGCTCGAGAAATTCGTTGTTCATGCTAATTGGGCAAAGATCAAAGCTCTACAAAAAGTCAGCGCGTCGCGAGGGGAACTCCTTCTCGAAAAACAGGATTCCTCAGCCCCGTGGAGCATATAAGATGTACAAAGAGAGAGGAATGACGGTTGGCATTCTTTTGATTCCAGGCGAAACGTGTCTGCACGTCGCGGCGTCGCAAGGCCACTCGGAGCTCGTCCGGCACCTGCTGCACTTGGGGGCGAACGTTGGCGCCCGCGAGGGACTCCGCGGTCTGACCGCCTTGCACTTGGCGATCGAGAGGAGCCACTTCGACGTGGTTCGACTGCTGGTGATCGAACGGCCGTTTTGCATCGACACCGTCACCTACGCCGGGTTGACGACCCACCAGATAGCCAACAGCTCCGACCGGCGTTTGGCCGATAACCTGGCGTTGCTGCAACGGTCGTACAACGCTGCAGGCAACCTCGAGGATATGGACGTGGAAAAGGAGCTCGCGGCGTTCGCGGGTATGAGGGTACGGTGCCTGGCGACTTGAGCGACCGTTGTGTGTTTTTTTGTTCCGTCCGGAAGCTATAATGTAGTCATTTGGGTCTCGGTATCGTTTCATTGTAAATAAGAAGGGCGTTGGTTCAATTGGTTCGAAGAACCCACGCGAAAAGGAGGCATCGAGTTTTTTGTGTACCACCAGGTCTCGGGAAGAGATTGCACGCATTGAATTTCTTTGGATGCCTCCTTCGGTATTTATGTTGGTCACGATTGACTTCGTCACGTGCTGGACTAAAATGGATTTTTTGTATTTGCATGTGCAGCGTGCAGTGTGAGGATTTATTCTACTGTTTACTAGGGTACCCAAAATTGTTGAATTGTAATAATTATAGAGCGACCTAACGTCATCGTTTAACCCGAAGCTTGTGTCACCTCGTGATTCGAGTTTCTAAAAATAGTGCGTTATATTCGTGATTAACTTGGAATGAAAAATTTAAATAAAAACATGTGAAGGATATATTTAGTAAACCGGAAATAAGCGGCTTTACTTTGGTGAATTTTTTTCCCCTTATCATTTAATCGCGTTCGTCGAGCCAAAACATGTTTTTATTTCAGTAGAGACTCGTTGTTTTAGAACTTTAAATTATTGAAAATTTGTAGAAAATTATAACTTAGACTGATTCTTCATTTACTAGCCAATTGAATGAAAATAAATCGTTTTCATTACTCTGTGGGTATGCGCGCACCCATTACGGGCTATGAAATAATCGTAGATAATTATTGCATGTTGAATTGTGTATCATGTGTAATTCGTCTCGTCAGTGTAAATAAAAGTATCATCATAGGGAATGTAGCCCAAATTAAGTAAAATAGTTATAAATTTTAAACTACGTGATTAATGATTGATAGTCATCTTGTGTTATTCCACTTTACTCCAAAAATTGCAGAATGAAGAAAAAAACGATGATGTAGTTTAGATTTTAAGTATGAAAAAATAAAATGTTAAATGCATTGATCAAATTAAAATTATTATATAAATTGAAATGTAGTTCATGTATTTATCCAATGCTTTTAAAAAATTAAAGTTTTCTCTATCAAAAGTATTATACAAAACTAGGAATGAATTTCATGAATTGGCAAGAGTGTTTGAAGTTAACATTTGCAATAACTTTATTGTTTATCTTCAATGAAGTAACTAACATTTACTCGTAAGGATTTACGCGGGTTGTATCATGGGTTAACACATGACGATAACATCGCACGACCACCTTCTATTTTATCATTCGTAAAACTTTAACTTTTCCTATATACCCGTTATACATGATTTTCTATTAAACTTATTAATGTGTATTCAAAGTTATAGTCTATAAACAATTGATGTTTATTTGAAAAAAAGAAAAAAAATAGCATTTATCTGTTAAAAATTTTCTTGTTTTTTTACCGACTGAGTCTTATATCGCGCATATCCCTTGGAAATTCTCAACAAAAACACTTTCCGGTACTCGTTAAAAAATTATTTTTTATTCTTAATGTTGGAATTATTAAAAAAGGATTTATAACCGTGGATATTTTATGGTACGATGCGGTTTGACATGCGATGGAATCCGTGTTAAATGCAACTTTAATCAACCCATTGTTATATCCTCTGCATATTTGTTTCTCGCGATCAATACCTCCGTCACTCCATGCACATGTGCCCATCGTACCCTATACTACCATGTTCGTATAGGTAAGTATATATTGTTCATAAGAGCCGCTCGGAGCAACGCGATTCAGAGCAGATGAAAACGATACCCATACACGTAGGTATGCTATTCGAAACAATTCTCGTTAGCTTCTGATGGTTTTACGAAAAAATTAGGGAAAGCCAAGAAAAAAATGTGTGGGTGCATGGCGTTTGTTGAGTCCATTCTCATGTCAATTTAAAAATATTTTACTCCCGTAAAACAATCGCGTACATGTAATTATATCCGTGAGAAACATTTTTTCTACAAATGAATTTTATCTAAATAAAATACACCCTATTTAAATCAAATACTACAGCGGCGCTGACTTTTGCCCAATATTTGACAACTTTCGTTATTTGTTTGTAACCCGTATGTCAAGTCGTATTTAAATATACGCAAATAGTGTTCATAAATGTCTCTTTAAGATCAGTGAATTATAACGTATATAAAAAACAGGTATATCTTTGTTTAATAAACAAGTATAAATTTATGTCACTCATAAAATGACAAATTTGAAGGGAAGGTATTTTCGTTGCTCGTCGGATAAATTTTACGTGCGCTTTTGCACTCTGCACTCTCAAATTCAACTCAACTCAACTCAACAACTCTCTGCAGTCTGCAGTGGATATTTAAAAATCAGCGCCATCTTGCGAGGCTGATTCTGAGTTATGTTAAAAAGTAAGTCAACAAACTTTCGAGAGTTTCGAGTCTTTCGACCATTCGCGGCCAACGCTGGTTTTCCCGTTTTCGCCGTTTTCGGAAAATTCTCCGCCAGACAGCGCCAGTTGTGAAATACCCGAAAAAATAGGTGGCAACTTTGAATTCCAAAAATACATGCGCGCTTGATAAATATTAAAATATGTGCGTATACGCATGCCACATGCATCAAGCGCTTGCACGCAGCAACAATAGTGTATAATAAAATAGGAATTTTTAAGTAAACGAGACACGTAAGTAATGTGTAAAACTCAAGCATCGAGCTGATGATGGGACGAGCATTGTTATCTTTCGTTCTTGCACACGTATATGTGTCCCTCTAACGACGCGCGTTTTTCGTCAAAACCTTAAAAATTGTGGGTTTTTTCCGTTTTTGAATTATTTGTTGTTGACGTTTTGATCGTTTGATATTTTTCGATTAAACGAGTTGCGAAAATTCGATTTCGATTAAACGCGTTGTTACAGGTCACCTCGCGTGGTTGGATAAGATTCGTTGTTATTGTATGCAAGATTTAAAAATTTCTACACGTGTTGATGAAAGAGAGAGAGAGAGAGACCCGTTTGTCTTGATTTTTGTCATTTGTTGTGTGTAAATGAAATAACCAGTTGATTAAAATCAGATAATTGAGGACATGGGTGTTGTGTATATTCATCTGTACTAGGTATACTTTTGTAGCATATCGAGTAGCAATTTTGCATTAAATTCAATAAGTCATATTAATTTTAAAATAAATAAATAATTAAAGAAACAACTAGTAAAAAAGCTGCTGTTAGTATGCATGTATGCGTGTGTGTGTTGACATGTTACGTACACGGTTGTACATTGTACGCGGATGGGAACGAATATTGGATTTTTATGTTCCGATTTAACTGCGCTTTATTTAACTACACACCATCTTCGAAAATATTTGTACATTAAAACGTAGGACAAATCATCCTCTCGCGTTCGAATTCCATAGTTATACTTTTTCTTTTTTTCTTCTTTCCTCCCTTTCATCGTCACATCATATTGTTATTTTGTTATCATTATTAATATTCATATGATTAATTTTTCTTCAATCATGCATGCAGCTATGGTACAATGGTATCGTAACCGCAATGTCTCATCACCCGTTTTTTTTTTCTCTCATCTTTGAATTTCACAATCTATTTGTTTCTTCTCGTTCCTCGAAAATTTTCATAACTTCGTTTTTATCGTTACCTCTTTTTTATCCATTCGTTTTTTTAAATTTATTATTCACCAAATATAATATGTTTGTATAAATTCATCGATTGATTCGCGCCGTAATATGTTAATAATAGTAATAATATTCGATCCGAAAGGGATATATCGTATATAGGAGTAGAGTCATCGCTTCGGAGCACACGTCGGCGGAGGCAAACTAGCACAAATTGGGAACAATACAAAATATAGGTGTACAAACAAACGCCTGGGACGAATTTTCGTTTCAACTTTATCAACATTGTGATCAATACTGGAGAGCGCTTGGCTTGTCGTACTTTGCATTTGTTGCTTGTACAGCACTTGTGTAGCATACATGCGTATAGAAAAAATAAAAATTATTAAAAAAACATTCTTTAACTCGGACGTGGTCGAGAGAAAAATCAAGCAGTTCTCTCAGTCACGCTCGGAAAAGAAAAGAGGCTTGGTTTTTTTTTTTTTTTTTTTACCAATGTACGCATAATTGGCGCTCCTATATAGGTACGACGCTTTTGCTATTAAAGTATGTAATTTGTTTAACTGTTTTGTAGTAAAAAAAAAATTCGTCGGACGCTCGAGGAGATTGCGCGCGCGCGTGTTAACGCTATAGATTGAATAAAATTGAAAATAAAAAAGGAGAATAGAATAGAGATGAAAAAAAAAAAATGCTTTGCTCTGCTATTACTACATGTACTTTAAATTATAATTCGCGCAGTTATTCTCCGGTATATATATTTCTTTCTTGCCGCTCATTTGTTAAAAATTTATATACCTTCTTAACTACGTTAGAGGAACACCATCTAATTACGCTTTTACATTTATAACTGAAACAAACGCTCCAAACAACGGAGAGTTCCTGTGTTCGTGTATGGGGACTTGTAAAATTATTGGGGGTTTTTTTTCAGTAGATCTGTATACCTTTTTTTCATCATACTTCTTTTTTCAAAAAATCAGCATTTCGTGTAATTCGAGGTGTAATTTTCACCATTTTAATTCATATTTTCATACGTTCATATCATTGTGTCGCTGTTACTTGATCATTACTTAATTTTTACACATTGCGATATCGATGGATAAGTTTGTATCATCAGTACAATCACAATCAACAAGTAAAGTATAAATCGAAGTGATTAAGATTTTCCTTGTAAGTCTTAGGCAATGAAAAACAGAAAAACAAGGTATAAGGTGCCCACCATGTGAAGTGTCAGTTCGTGTTCGCGCGCTATTATCTCATTTTTCGTTTAAATACAACTATTTTATTTATTTATTTCATTTATATAAATTGCATAATTTAATACATCATGTCCATTTGTTGCGACTTCGCTGATGGATCGTGTTATTTCATCAAATCATTCCCTTCACGCGATTATGACGCAACACTATCCCAAATCGTCTGTAAGGGTGTTTAATATAACAACTTTGTATTTCTTTTCTTTTTCTTTTTTTTTTTTTTTTTTAAAGCATTAATAATAAAATTGTTCCTTATTCCATAAACTTTATACATTCTATGTATAATTATTATGCAATATTTAAGTCGAACATTATTCATACACTACCCAAGCGCGAGCACGCACTTTTGGTGACAGTTTTAAATTTGGTGGTCAGCAGATAGGCACGAGCATAAAATTTATATTTCTAAAAGTTGTGAAAAAAAAAAAAAAAAAAAAAAAATTACCAATGGTAAATAAAAAATATGTATTTGTTAGTGTTGTATATCGACCGCTTGTCATTTTATATTTTCTTATTTCAAGAAAACGTTATAAAATTTTTCGTGTTACATGATGTATATTGTTACAAAAACGCACCACCAACTATCTTCCTGTCTGCTGGCATATCACCACCGTCGAATTGATTTATTTGCGGTTCGCACGTGGCGTGACAGCGTACGCATGCGTTTATTCATTTTCATTCATATTATTTCCAATTGTATAATTAATTACATACAATATTATGAAGCCGCGATACAACTTGGCCACTTACAATAAACGAAAAGAGAAGAACGATTTTTCTGAGGAAAAAAGATAGACTCAGTCACGCGCGCACTAGGTGAGAGACATTCGTTGAAACTACAAACGCAAAAATGATTTTCAAATGTAAAAAAAAATCATCACCCACAAATGTTCATTTTACACTATTTAAATACAATATAGTTTTTTTTCTTACATCTTAAATAAGTTTTTATTTATAAAACTGTTCCGGAGAAAAAAAGCCAGATGACGACAAATACCAAATTTTTTTTATCCTCCCGAAGTTGCGTTCGACGAGCTGTCTTGGACAAAAAGAAAACAATAGATCCGCCGTAGACGGAGGGTCGACGAAAAATGCAGGAGTCCAAGATTTTTTTTTTCCACATATACGTGTATTTTTTTTTTTTTTTTTTTTTTTTTTTTTTTTTTTTTTTTTGTAAAATATAGACATACAAATGATGATGAGGTAAACATGTGCATTGATAATTGCCTTGTTATTTGTTCAAATATTTCTGCTACCATTGCTTCGTCCGTTCGTAAAAAAGAAGGTGTTTCGCAAGCAGGTAGCAGTCGTCCAGGAAAAAATAAATGACAAAGTAGACATTTTACAGTTTTGAAAGAAGGAAAGGGCTGCGTGACATAGCAAACACAGTGACAAAGTCTGCTATGTTTTTCACGATCTGCTTTTTTTCTGTTTTATTTATTTTTTGTTTCCTGATGTGTCTTACTGATTAGGCGAACTAATAGCTTTTTCTTTATCCGTCAAACGACCTAGCAAGTATTTGGTGATTGCTAGGTGGCCAGAATTGCGTAGGTGCCGAGACCGACGAAGGAATAGGGCATTAGTGGATAGGATTAGCATGTTGTTACTGTTGCTGCTGCTGGTGCTACTGCTACAAGTACTACAACTACTGTTGATGACGAAATCTCCAATGACTATTATCTGCTTTTAGTTGATCTCCTTGCTAAGTAGTGAAATTTCGCTTCTCAATAAGGTGGATAATGTGGAGGATGAATGGTCGATAAAATGTGTCGGCCCAACGCAACTCCAGCAAGGCGTCAGCTGTTGATGTTGCTGCTGCTTTTGTTGTTGTTGTTGTTTGTTTGTTGTTGTTGTTGATGTTATTTTAATGAAGAGATTGCAGAGATCGGGAGGATTTAGCCGATGGTTGTCGTCAACGACGCTGGTGTGCTACTCAAACCGCTCAATATGAGAGTAAGTGTTTTGCTCGTGATTACTACCGACAACATCGACGTAGACGAACAGCGACGACGAAGTTGCAGACACACCGTCGGGCTTCCTCCGCCTCTCTTTTTCCTTACACGCGCCTCTTCTTTCCTTCATTATGCGGCTTCCTCGGGATCCTCATCATCATCTTCATGTTGGTCATCGCCTTCGTCATCGTCATCATCTTCATCTGGAAAGAAAAGAGGTTCAACGTTAGGTATCATAACGTTTTCATTCTTGTTCGTTCGAAACTCACGCGACACAATTTAATTGGTTTAAAATGACCACGTGGTCTCTTAGGTACGAGTAACTCAAACTTATTGCATAGAGGATTTGAATGTATTGCAAGTTAGTCATTAAAAATTATCCGTCAAAAAATGGACATTGGTACTTCGTGCCAACGATAGTGAGTTTCTTTTGTGAAGCAATGAAACAAATACTTACTATCGTCTAATTCTTCTTCGGGCACGTCTTCTTCCTCCTCATCTTCGTCTTCGTCATCATCTCCGTCAACATTGTCTTCCAGATCGTCGCCTTCATCGGTCACCACTTTGTTATCGTCATTGTCGGCGCCGTTCTCCTCTTTATCTTTCTTTTGTTTCTTGGACAGGTCTTCCTTGTCCTGTAACCAAAAACGCAAGGTGATTTTAGTATTTTTAAACCATTTACAAATATTATATAAATAAACGAAAGTAAAAATATTGTTTAAAATTTATGACAATCGGTCTTTTTTGTTTACTAAAACGATAATTTATTTTTTAGCTTTAACTGTGAGTCGGAGTGAAATCGGAACCGTTAGCCATTGCCAAGTGTTTTCTTTGGTCCCCTCCATTCCACCATAAAAATCACGCCCAGAAGACTATCTACTCATCCTTGTTAGATACAATAATGACGGTATAGGAAAAAAGATTCCCACGGCAAATAAGGGGAGGTCAAAGGGATGCCGGAGGATAGGGTTACCGTGTCCCCTAGTAAGTATACGTTCATATTCATCATGACAATCGCGGTTTGCAGCTGTCCAGTGAATTATAAAAAAGCTCTCCAATGAGTGAGTTGACTGTACCCGTACTACTAACGATTTCGCCCTCAAGGTCTTTTATTAAAACTTGATTTTGTACTCCTAGCCGGCTGGTCGAAAAAATCGAAGCCACAGGAAGATCTTCAAGAAAGAAAAGAAGAAAACTACGGAGCAACTGCGCGGTTGGTACGCCTGTAAAAAAAGTACGAGTGGAGGGAAATCACGGAAGAAAAGGGCTCGCTGTATGAGGCCGGCTTTCAGTATAGGCGATGCCAATCCTGCATAATGCCACAAGAGCCGGCCTCCTCTTCGTTCTCGCATCAAAAAGGAAGTAGCAAGTAGGTATGGTAGTAAGTACAACACCCGGCGCAAGCGCACACAAGGCTCATTGCAGCGTTTGTACAACTGTACTAAACCTCTACTACTGCACACGTATGGTCTCTCTCTCTCTCTCTCCTGCATGTATCTTTCTTCTTGTGGAGCAAGAAGCTAGGTCAACGACTAGTATACCGGCAATGGAGAGAGAGAAAGAGAGAGGTGAAAGGGAGAGGGCGATCAAGACGAGCGAGGAGGGCACGTATAGAAGCTGCATGGGACAGCGCGGTCGGGGAAGTGCAGAGGGCGTAAAGCTGCTCGAGGAACGGAACGCAATGGTCTGCCTTGACGTGTATCGTGTGTATAGGGACATATACATGCGTGCATAATGGCATGTAGGAGAAGAAGAAGGTACATTCAAGTCAATGCACCCTCAGTTGGGAGAGTGGGGAGGGAGAGATATCAAATGAGAGCGTGTTACCGATCTTTTGCAGAGCTACGTGATTATTGCGGCTGAGATGAAGCGGAGCCATTTTTTTTGGTACACATTTTCCAAAACTAGATTTAAGTGTAGGGTATACTTATGTATAGAAAATACAACAGTCATTCAAGCAATGAGTTGGTATTGTGTAATAATAGGGACGGGAAGAGGATGTATTGTTCCTTTCGAGGAACGCGTGGAACGGAGGGGGAGGAAAAACGCCGGGCGTCATGCTTGCGCGCGCTTTTAGCCGGCATTGCCGTATCGTCCGAACGAACGAGAACCAGGTGTATATGGGTATACGTTGGGAGAAAGGCGTGTTTGCGCCGAAAAGGAAACAATTCGTTTCTCTCTCTCTGCATCATGTTCTTATGCGGGTGGTTCCTCCCCCCTGCCCCACAACGAAATATTATACCGCCCACGCTTCCCGTTTCTTCTGCGATTTTTCTATTCTAATTCCCTTGCACTTGTCATTTCGATATTTGTCACCGTGTTTTCGATATGTTATGTTATGTTTCATCATCGTACAACTCTGTGCGCGATGAGTGAGAATTTCAATGCAACAGTCCGTCGGTCTGCTACATTCGTACATATTGATTTTCCATCGAAGCAGGGGGTGAATGGCTTCGGTGAAATGACCTACTACCCCGTTTAGAAGATGAATCTTTTGCCACATGGAACTGGACCAATGAATTTACCACAAGAACTATTAGGAATTTCGAACGAATGAATTTTTTGAATGAATATTGGGGGGTAGAAACGTTAGAGTATAATAGAAAGAAAATTCGGGAGGAGTCCTTTTTTGGTTCAAAGTTGATAAAAAAAAAAATAATAAATCGCGAGAATCGAATGGCCGCGCGCGAAGGGCCTCAACGGAAGGCTGCACGCGGACATAAATGAGAGACACCGGCGAGGAAGGAACGCGAGAAAAGAGAGAGAAAGAGGTGCCTCGGCGACGGTGGCGTCGCCGCTTGACAACGAGCATAATATATACCTACACGCGCTTCCCATGTTGTACATACAAATAAGGCACGTAACGTAAAGTTTAACCATCCCTTTTGCGCCAGTACATATATAGACAAGGTATTTTCCCTACGTTATGTGAGTCTGTTTTCACTCAATTTTCATGATACAAGTACCAGCGCGAGCCACTGTCAATAACAAGATCCCCCGCCAGCAGACAACCCGTTCGCTCGATCTATTATCTGTGTGGTGGCACTTACGAAAAAAAAAAGAAAAAAAAGAAAAATGAAAAGAGGAGCACGAGAGACAGGACGGATGGAAATGTGGAGAAGAATGTAGAGAAAAATGTGGCCCCCGCTTGCATGTATAGACGTATATAATATGTACTAGCGCCGGTGTCGCTAGTGTCGCTACCGATCGATTCCTGGCACGCGTGTATAGAAAACGCGTGTACGAGTCTTCAAACTTATACGTGTACAAATCGAAAGGGGGGAAAAAAAGGTGAAGATGATCGCGAGTCACCGCCGAGGCGTCATTTATTAACGATTGAGGTCAAGCCGATCGATTTCCATCGTTATCCCTTTCCGACTCCCCGAGCACTCTCGACGTACTTTCCGCGGAAAATCGAAAAGACACAAGTTGGTATATGCGTGCGTGTGCGTTTTGGAGCCGCATCGTTTCCCGCCGCGCTCGCAAGTACAAAAAACGTGTGTAAAGATTCCAAGGTTCAACACATATATCCATACGTACGATAAAAAAATTACGAAAGCGGCGCGCGCACCCCAAATGCACGCGTATAAAATTCGAGGCGCACATAATACATATAAGACTGCTCCAGGGAACATGGCCGTTTCCACAAATATCACGTAACCGGCCGAGAGCTACCGTCACGTCGGCTCTCGTGCCCATGCAGCTGCCGCCTCCGAAAGGTATAACATACTTTTTTTACGAGAAGACGCGGGTATATTACGTCGAGGTATGGTGTTTCTCTCTGCGCGAAGGAAAGCCCCGAGTCAGTATTTCGGAGCGCGATTATTGATGTTGGATGAACGAGGGGTTGTCTGCAAGTATACGGGGAGGCTAAAAATAGTACATGCTAACGTAAGAATCAAATGTTCATGATCACGGGGTCGGCGTTACGAGAGCGATTAGGAAGGATGGATTATCGCACGCAGCATCGTTGCAGGGTCATTGTACATGACGATCGTCACCAAACGCGAGAGCTCCCTCCCCCGTGTATATTCATATGTATAATATATCGGCGAAGCTTGTTGAGTACATTTTTATAAATAAAAATACGGTGCACATCTGTAGTCAGAGGCGCCTCTCTCGCTATATCGATTCAAAGGGAACGAGAAGGAAAGCGACAGAGAGGATCCCTCATTCTCTCTCTCCTCGGCACATCGTCCACGTGACGCGCGCGCGCGTTTCGTCTCTCGCTCATATTTCTCTCTTTTTCGCTCGCCTTCGGTTATATTATATACCGCTCTTTCGGATCGACCGGCAGATTTCGGAGGGAAAAAGGATAGAGAAAGAGCCGGTGGTGGTACTGCTGCTGCGCCGGCTCGTTTAGCGCCTTCTGCCACCTTTCTCCCTTATAGATTCTTAAAAGCCGTACCGTACACGAAAAGGCGCATCATCAGCGCAACTAATCATCATTATCATTATCATCCCTTCCGTATGAGACTATACTTTTGCGTTGCTTTCGCCCTCCCTCACTCGATCCCTCGTGAAAAAAGTAGGGGCGAAACAGTCAAAGGGAAAAAAAAAAAAAAAAAAAAATTGTTATCTCGAAGCTTCGCGTTGACTACAACGTTGTCGTGGGTGCCTCAGCGCGTACATGGTCGAACTGCATTGGATGACGGCATGTTACAAGCATCTGGGAAAGAGAGGAAAACGAGAGAGATGTACTCCAAGTTATAAGAATGAGAGAGTGCGAGTGAGACACGTCGACATGGCGTCCACGAATAAGTGAGAGAAAAGGATAAAAACCAGCGGTGGCTGTGCTTCTTCGAGTTTCATAAACAATTGTTAACTCGCTGGAGGAGAAGGAGGAAGTCGAGAAGAGACGCTCTTTTTTACTCTCGTTTCACGTTCCGAGCCCCCTCGCGGGCACCTGCACCTCTCCATGAGAATCCAAGTTTGGTCATCTCAAATGTACTCCTCGTAGATTGATAATGAAAAAATACCAATGAGCTGCGACAACGTAGAGTAAACACTCATTTGGGAAAGAAACGTAATTAGTAATAATAGAAGTGCAATCATCGCAGACCTACATGATAACAGATTAAGTTGAGCGCGGAAAAGGAGGGGGATCACCAGCATAAAAGTATAGTGCATATACCGAGCGAGGCGATGAAGTGTATATTAAGCGAGTAAGCGCGCGCGTATATACCGACGCGCCGCACTTCCATCTCGCTCGTGTACTCGCGCTTCAATATGGGTATGTTGGTACGTGCGTATATTCTCATACGTATACGCAATACTATCGTACCTATACAAGCCGCGCCATAGTCGGCCATAATGGACGTACGGACAAAAAGTCCATTGAGCCTAGTGCCATTATAACAGCTTGTCGGCCCTTCAAAGGGCCCTTAAAAAATGCGCGGGAGGACTCTACCTTTCCTCCAAACCCCTGGGTCTTACACAGCCGCGTGCACAACGTACCCATACCATTTCGTTTCCCCGGCATATGAGATCGAAGGACACGCGCTTTCTCCGCTCGCTCGGTCCTTCTCGCACCAAAGCGACTCCCCCATTGACAGCAGCGGAAGAATAAACATGGCGGCGTCCCTGGCTCATCTCTAGGGGACAAACGCGCGCGCTTTCCAAAGCACGCTTGCGCCATTAGTAGCCACTTCGGGTACTTTGGATCGATCGTCGTTCCCATTTTACGACCAAAGGTAGTTAAACTTGCGTAAACAAACATTGAGAACCCGATAAATGCACGGTAACAGCGTTTCGGAGTTTCGGAGCAGCGGCGCCGGGATTGAGCACATGGCGGTGCAGCGCGTCGCTCTTACCGACCTCGCCGCCGCTGCTCCGAAACGCTCGATCGCTAAAAACGCCGCCTCCTCTTCCCCTACGCGACGTAAATATCACAAAACGAGACTATGACTATATATACTACATCTCCTCCTGCTGCTGCTGCTGTTGCGAGATGATTCGTAAGAATCGTGAATGAAAAAAAGGAAAAATCGATGACACGGAGCGCGGAATTGAAGAGGCAGCTTAAAAGGCCCTTCGTCTCTTTCTAATTCTCTCGCACCGACCACGAGAGCGTGGAAAACATGTCCGCCCGCGACTCGCGTGGCACCCGGTGCAGCGTGCGCTCGACAAAACAGGCGCAGCAACACCGGCACCACGGAGTCACTGGCCCAGCCGATCGTTAGCGACACAACGAGCACCACGTTAGGGAGAAACAGCACTCGCGCGTCCCCGAAGCCGTGCGAGACGAACCTCATGGCGCTCGGCGCGCCATTTTTTCAGCCCGACGCTGAGCCATGGACGACTCGCGCGCGCGCGCGCGCGCTCCGTGATATCAAGTGCCCCGAGTCGAGAAAGTACGCCCCCGCGCGCAAAGTAAACACACAAACGCGAGGATGACACACGCGGTGATCGGCAAGGAATCGAACTCCGGTGAGGGAAAACGGGCCGACGTGCCAGCCCATCCGCGAGAAAATGGAGTCTATACGCTACATACGGCATATAGATGCCGGCCGGCGGCGGTGGCGGCGCACGCCGTCCACGGGGTGTCGAGCACCATAATGTGCCGTGCAGACGACGACTCCGACGACTCCGATTTCTCGACACGTACACTTTGAACGCGAGTCAAAGGCCGAACGGTAAGCGAAGCGCCATCAACTTGTACGTAATAATTGTAAGCGTATGAGCGATAAAAACTCACCTCTGCCGCCCTCTTGATGCCTTTGATTTCACACTTGTCGCTCACGTTGTTGGTCTTGGCGTTCTCCGTCACCTTCTCGACGGCTACATCGCTCTTCTCGGTGGTACTCATTTTGAGTATGTGTGTGTGGGTTTTGTTTTGAATAAGTTATTCAACTATATTGTAAGCGTGCTGTCCGACGGGCAGAACGGAGCACACTGAGACTACTGAGGGTATATACTGAGAGCTGCTGCAGAAGACCAACTCGCAAGGGTCTGAGAATATATTATTATTGTTATATATGCTGCACGGAGAAAAATGAGATCGATCACCGAGCTGATCTTGCGCGAGACTGCGAGCGAGCTTCTGACGGGTTGGCCCCTCTACCGTACGTAGGTCGGTTCACCGCTGCCGCTGTTCCATTCTATCCATCAACTCTTGGTCGCTCGTCTCTCTCTCTCTCTCTCTCCCCTTACGTGCAATGTGTCCTCCCCCCAACCGTTCGTCCGACTCTCCCTTCTCTCCGACGACTCCGATTTTTGTTCCTGTGTACGTGCCCAGTGCACACACGTCCGTGTGCGCACTCACACGCGCAAGCTAAGACCACAGGTAGTATATACATATACATATATATATATGTCACATATACTGGTGAAGTCGCTCGCGAGGTCCATACCCTATACAACCAACCTTTACCGTAGCGTTGGCTTCAGGCTTCCGGCGAACGGCTCATCAGGGTGTATGGGTGCAACAAGGACAGATAGTCATACATGTGGGGGAAGGAGAGGAGGCAAGGTGCGGACCGTTGGGGCTGGTATATACGCCAGAGTAGGGGAGGTTAATTCATTCTGGGGATGCAGAACTTTCGCTCGAGTATATCCAGCGGGGCTATAGGGGAACCTGCAAGGGGATCGTACCCGGCTCCATGGACTCGGCGTCGACGCTTTCTGTTGTGCCTCGTCTCCACTGCGTACCTACGATGTTGCGCTATTTTTCCTTTCCGTCCTTTTCCTCCTTAACTCGAACATCGGCATCGGTGACTTTTTAGCGCTACGTTCTCTACGCGTGCGACGTAGGATCAACGGTGGTTCACACAGTCAGCGAAAAACATCTAAAAAAAAAAACGAGATTTTCGTTGTTTTATTTCGTAGGCATTCGCATCTGCATTTCATCCCCTTGTGACTCCGAAATTCATTTTGGAGCCCTATGGCCTGTTCTGCACGCGGTATTTGGAATTTCGAGGGTAACCAGATGTGGCATTGAATGTTGATTATTTTTCATCCGAGTGGGTGCTTTATCGAGCGTTGCTAGGCTATTTCAACTTTGTTCTTTGAACTTTCTCCTTGAAGAATTATGGACACGACGTTCAAAGTGCAAACTTGCCGGCTGAACCTATGGTTCATGTATGAACACGGGGCGCCGACCTCGTTAACGTGGCCAGTGTCATACTACTATAGCTCCACTTTTTATTTTCCAAAATTAAGTGTATTGCAACGTCGTTAATAAGAATTTTCCGATGAAAATTTATGAAACTGTGCACCAATTTGATTGCACATTCGTTTGGATTGATTTCACGGGTACAAATCATAAGCGCACATATAAGTGGAGAAGTAGCATTGACGTAAGCGAGGACAACTTTATGCGTTCCAGGCCTAGAGTAGTAAGCAGGAAAGAGCGAGAAAACGGGCGAAAGAAGGACGGGAGAAAGAGAGCAGATATAGACGATGGCACACATGCAGAACTGGTCAGAAGCGGTGCTTACGTGCGTGTAAGCTTTGGAAGTATTGGTGAGTGTGAGCTTGAGCTTGTGGTCGTGCAAGTTGTGCGTATGAACAACAGAGCTCGAGGGTTCCTCGGAGCCGAGTTCTCGAGTACGAGAAAGAGAGTACGCACGAGCTCGAATCACTAGAGAGGCGGCTGTGTAACAAGGGAGCGACGTTGCCGATTGTGCGACGCTGATGGCGTTCTTCTGCCGGCCGGTAGACATATATTAACGGGCTTTGGCGCGAAATTCGAATTTTTACTTTCTTTACGCTGTGCGTTCGCAAAGTATGACCAGTTTATGTCTGCGTTTCTTTAGACATGTCGAGACTTTTCCCCACAGATGAGTCTTATGATTACAGTAATGCGTTATTTTGCATTTGTAGCGAATTTATTCGAGGAATCTCGTATGACCGGAAGTTATGAAATTCCATGAGATCAGGAACGCAGTGGGTGTTCAATGTATAATACGAGCCACATGTGTGGGTCCAATGAGTGACTAAGAATGTTTTATTAATAAACGTGATGTTCGCTTGGTTCCATGATACCTCAATTTTGCGAGGAAGAGTTACCAATCGAATGGAGCCACATTGCACTTACAATGTAAAGCATAACTTTCATGGAAACTTTTCTAAAGTTGCACAAAATTGCAAAACCTTACAAACATCCATGGGTGTGAAAAAGTTTCGTCGTAATCATGTTTTCTGGAATCAGCACTAACGAGCATATATTCTGTACGAACGAATTGATTTGATTTTAAGCACCACATTATTTATCGAAACCATGTGTACCAATAATGATAACAAAGCGATTATTTGTAATCCAAGTAAAGAGTAATCAATTGAAATTTCATAAAAATTGGTTTTGCGTAGGGTAATGAAGTAATAAAATGTTTCTTTCGTTTGATAAATTCACGGAAATAGCCAGACTCCCCCAATAATAAATGGAGGGGCCGGAAAAGTAAAATTTCCAATGACGAATCTGTCGCAGTCACTCATCGGCCCATCGGCCCATACCTGGTGTGCCCACACCACACGTATACACGACTACAAAGCATCAGAGAAAATGTCGGCTATCTTGGAAAAGTACACAGTGGCAACGTCGCCCGTGTCACTTGTGATGCACATGTACAGTTGTTCTCATCCTCCATGTTACCCGAGCATACATACTACAGAGAGGATGTAGACATTGTAGACCTTTATGCGCACGTTTCAAACAGGTCGGCCGACCAATCTCTCCAATGTTCTTCGCGCACCCGTTCCCCTCTGGGTATCTGTCTCTTTCTCTCTCTCTCTCTCGCTCCCGTGCGGGTCCGCGTCGTACACGGCTTTGTTCGTGAGCGAAGATGGCGCGCCTTTGAACGCCGATAAACGCGAGGCGTCGTCGTCGTCATCATGCGAGAGGACGAAAAACTTGATGAGCTTTCGGCTCGCGCTGCTGATAAGTGGGCGCGTACGGGTAAGCACGCGCTTGTGTGCTCCAACGGATGAGAGGAAAAAGGATATACAGGGGAAAGAAAAAGAAAGAAACCAAATGAGCGACTATGGAGGAAAAAAGAAAAAATGCCGGCTATCTATAGTATATAAGCGCGCTTCGCGTGTGACACGGTCGCGCGACGGAGAAGAAAGATTTTCTGATGACCTTGCGCCCGGTATCATTGCGTGGTTTTTTTTTTTTTTTTTTTTTTCACGCCACTTGTACGCGAACATCGAGCCGTGGTTACAATGGCGGGAAAAATCGGTAGCTCTGATCGCATAAGGATTGCCAGGGTCGCTTCCGGATTTACCCCACCGAGGAGGACGACGTATGCAGGGGTGTGGGAAAGAACGAGGGAGCGGGTGATAATCCGAGTGATTGTCTGTTAATGTTAACGCGCGACGACAAAAATGTAGACTCGAAGAGTAACGGGTTCTTATTTTGGTACAGCGTACAGCACACATCCGAGATGTAACACAGGTAATTCCGCCGTATAGTGAACGTTAAGGCAATGCCTATTGCATATTGCTCGATTATTTTCTCGTTCGTAGTAAGTATATACGTTTCGGATCAGCTTTCACGAGGAAACAAGTATGGCGGTGCGTTAAAATGAAATGTTATCCAAAAAGCTCTCGCAAGCTCGGATTGGGAATTATTATGGAAACGACCGCGAGGTGGCAGTCTCGAGCTTAGTATGACCATGACGTGATTTTAAGTTTCATAACGAAATGGTAGTTGCAGATCTGGGTCATATCTTAGGTATGTACCAACCTCCTATAGTGTTGATCTAGGACCACCGAAGGTTCATGAACAACTATGGATTTGCTGGTTCTTATGTACGTGTAAACTCGACTGATATTGCGCATTTATCTGAGATGCCATTTTGGAACATACCGTTCCCAAATAGGATCTGAAGTGTAAATATATATTACCAACGTCATCCGAAAACTACGCATCGTGCATGAAATATCGCGGACGAGTGCTTTTTTCCCGCACGCAAGGTTGAAAAAAAAAAAAAAATCCAATGTAGTCATCGAGTGAAAAAAGCCGTAAAGGAGGAAAGAGGATGGCGTACTCACGATTTGCTTCCTATGCAATATACAATTTTTAGATTTTTATTGTGTATATGCTCTACATTATATCGCTACACACACTTCTCTAGATGCGTGTATGTATGCGCGTAGGTTTCACTAGATATACCGCGTCTGATATTTCAACCCAATATTATGTAAGTATGGTAACGTGTAGTGTCCATTATCCATCAGTAACATCTGTATATCTTTAATTGCTCACGTTGCATAATGTATACTTATAGGTATCGCGGTTAAAATCATATATTGTGTGTATGTATGTTATACACACTGTACGTTTATGTGTACAGATGTATAAACGTGCAATGCGAGATTATGGAGTCAAATGGCATTTCCCGTTGCAGGAAAGTAAAGAGCGATTGTCTTAGTCTCTCTTCGCTGCAGCGTAATAAAAGAGGAAGAGATGAAAAATATATAGCCTAAGTGGGTGAAAGAGGGGGCCGCCACGGGAGAGGTAATGCAAAATCGAGTGTATATATGTATATATATGTGTGTGTGTGTGTGTATGTATGTATATATATTGTAGCGTCGCTGTAGTTTTCCGCACTTTTTCTCGATGCGCATGCTATATACTTATACCTTTGAAATATTAGTAGCTGAGGCACACGATGACTCGTGCCAGGATTTTTGTTTGATCGCGTGCATACGGTACGATAATTTTTTTTTTTTTTTTTTTTTTTGTAGGCAATTACGACAAGAATTATGGGAATAAACACGAAAATGATTTTAAAAAAAAACATGTTTAGCTTGGGCAAGCCCATCATAATTTTTATGAAAATTTCAAAAACAAAAATCTGATTATAGAAGAAAAAAAGAATATCCATGGCAAGCAATTATGCCTCGTTCAATCATGGATTGTAAGTAAACAAGTATATCTAAGACCATAACAGTGTCCCAGGAAGCTCGACCCACACCCACGCGATGCGCAAGGCATACCATAATATTACGAGGAAATTGTATTGAACTGCAGAGCAAAACGTTGCAAGTTTTTTCGGGGATGAAAAATGGCCATTTATAAAGCCCAGGTGCATCGATTATGATAAACGCTTCTAACTGCAGACGACGACGTATGGGTTAAATCATTTGATTTTACGCGAAATTTTACGTGCGCGGCCTCTCCATCTTCAACAAGTTGCCTAACGGCACCTCTTTTAAATTCTTTCATCGTTATTATATATACCATTGATTTTGCTTGCTCAGAACTTTGATGTCATATACAATACGGTATAATATACACCTCCCTCCAAGTGCCATATATAAGCACCACCGCCGTCTTTTCCGTGCGCTAGAATTGCAGGTATACTTTATGGTCTCTCTCTCTCTCTCACTCTGTTTCTCTTCTGTCTCGTTATTCGTTGCTCTCTGCCCACAATCCGCGCGTGCTTTCTATTCCAACAAATATTTGTGAAAAATTACGCAAAAAAGAGGAAAAAAAACTTGTAGGAGCCCAAAAATGTGTATTTGACATGTGATCATGCTCTAGTGTGTAGCCACCTTCATTCATTTTTCTTCCTGTACCATTTTAACTCAATGAAAAACATTTTGCAACGAGCGAGTAAGTCTTGTTACTTTTTATTTTCGAGCCTTTAAATTTTTCAAAAATATGGATTGGAACCTTTTTTAAATTTTTTAAATAATAACTAGCGTTCGCGTATGCCTCATCTGGACTTGAAAAAATCTTCTTCTTTTTTTTTTAGCGGAATATATATTCAACTCGCGTTTGTTTATTGCACCCAGTGTGTGTTATATGGTGATGCCCCTGCTTCCGAGACAAATGATAATAGAGAAGATCATCGGGGTAACAAAATTAGCCGATGTTTGCCGCGCGCACGTAATTATTATTCCTATTACTCGAAGAGAAAAAGGCACACTGCACCGGACGACGCCGTTGGGAGCGCATTTGAGAGCACGTAATCTTTATTATCCGGAAAACGGACGAGCCCAAAGAGTATAGTGAAAAGAGAAAATTTTCCATTGAAATAGAAAGCCTGCCTGTGTGGGGCGCTCACGCGTTTGAGCATCAGCTTTTATTATCGATTGGATCGCAAACTTGCTGATTTCCCACGTTGTCGTGTAAAGGGTATATACTTAGTATGAGGAACGTGCGCGAGGAGCTTTGCGTTCGGGAGCTCTATTTTACTTCAGGTAGCCCGAGTACAACACTATACGAACTACTTACCTGTTTTTCAAGCATATGCATGTTTCGACAAATTACCCGTACAGTAAAATAATTATATCTCCACGTCTCAAGTGGTATTTGTATGATCGTTGTTTATGTTGTCAAATGCAACAAAAAGACTACTTTTACATGCATCAGTGTATACAGTATAATTAAGGACAACTTTTTTTTAAATAAAGTCGCGCTACTCTCGCGCACGCGCCGTATAGCTTCTTTTAGTTCCATTAACAGCAAGGTGTCAGCAGTGTCGCGTAACTCGACTTCCCCCCCTTGCCGCTGCCCGTGAAAACATCCTCGATAACGTGAGAGAAGGAGCGTGGTTTACGTTTCCCTTCTCTTTTGGCACGTCCAAGATGGTGAGTGAACAATTACCGGAAGAAAGGTCTTCCTATTATCTGATGTAATCAACAACATCGTACGATGTCTGTTAACGAAATCGCGATATTTCGCGAGATATGGTGGCCCATCGTCTCGAGACCGGCAACGTTTTCGCGTCTTCCGTGAGCTTTGAGTGCTTGTGACATTGGCTGATTGTTAACCTATAATTTTCCCTCGATCTATTATTAATATTATATATACGTGCGTGTTTGTTTATTAGTGCTTCTTGTTAGATCACTTATTTTTCAGAGACTTCTGAATTACACGAATTTATTAATTACAAATTTTCGGTTTCCAATTTGACAGTTGATGTGTGGTGTTTTAGGGAATGTAAACATTACATCTGAACTTGCTTTTCAGGTGAATGTACCGAAGCAGAGGCGCACTTTCTGCAAGAAGTGCAAGGTGCACAAACCACACAAAGTGACCCAGTACAAAAAAGGCAAGGAAAGGAGGTTCTCACAAGGTAGAAGACGTTATAACAGGAAGCAACAGGGATATGGTGGACAGACAAAACCCATCGCCCGCAAGAAGGTATGACAATTGATTTTATTGTATTCAGTTATGTTTTTCTATGTACAAAACCACTGTAGATGGTAGATCTTGGTCTTTATCCACGTCGTTAAAGATGAAAAGTAAATTCGTCAATTACTAGTCTTGCTCTCTCTCTCTACTCAAATTCTTTTAACAACAATTTTTTAGTTCTTTCTGCCCTTCTATTCAAACAGTTCAATAGAATTGAATAAATTAAACATCGATACTGTTAACGTCACATTAGTACAATAAACTATTTTTTTTTTTACCTACAGTCGTACCCTTAATCATATGTTAAGTGGGTTAATTGTCAAGTAATCGCATTTATTATTTAGAAACAATAAACCTTCAAATTAGTATATAATTCATTACCCACCAACATAATCTGAAGAACAGGAATTATATTCTTATTAATTGATAACAAATTGTCTTAAATTTTTTGTGTTTTATAGCTGTTATCAAATTACATTCACATGATGTTAAAATTTCAAACATGTTAATCATTCTACGATTTTCTTTTTCACAGGCCAAAACCACCAAGAAAATTGTATTAAGGATGGAGTGCACTGAATGCAAGTACAGAAAACAGATTCCTCTCAAGCGTTGCAAGCACTTCGAGCTTGGTGGTGACAAGAAGAGGAAGGTATGTCAACAATCTATTATTAAATCACTGCAACCTGTATCAATACTTCCAATAAGTTACATAAAATCAATTTTTTTACTTTTCAGGGCCAGATGATTCAGTTCTAAGAAGTTTTTATTGTTTAAGGAACTGTATTTAATATAAAAACAAAATAAATCCTAGAAAATTTGTAAAATTCTTTTTTATTCTTAACATCTGTACAAAATGAAAATACATACACAAAACTTACAATTAAGTTTTTTAATCACACGAGTTTGCATCTGTCTCGGTAGATTTTGGTTTAGCAACCAATTTATGTGGATTACTACAGGAAAAAAAAAAAAAAAGTAAACTCTACAGTAACATCAAATGAATAATTCAAAAACAAAATCAAAGAGTCTTACTCTAACACTGATGAATCCAACCCTTCTTGCTCCATTTTTAACTTGATAGCTTGTTTAGGTACGCCAAAATGAATCATTTTGAAGTACTTGGCATATTGTGGATCTGCACTTACTGGTTGAGTATCAGTCTCTTCAACTGGAGGTTTGTCAGGAACTTGATTATCAGGTTCATCGGTTTCTCCCTTAGTTTCTACAGTTTTAACTTCTTCACCGTTGGTCGTAGTCTCGTTGACATTGCCGTCTGTAGTTTGCTCACCCTCTGCATCAGGAATGGTTGATAACTGTTCAAGTACAACGAAAATTTGAAACTTTGGCTTTTTGCAGTAGTATCAAACTAATTTTCTTACCTTAGCTTCTAAGATTGCCAATGTAGCTTCAACTTTTTGTATTTTGTTTTCAAATTCGAAAAGCTTTTCTTCACACGAAAGTGCAAATTTATTCAAATAGGTTACTGTATGAGCGATAAAATGATTCATAAAAGCTATTGTTCTCTTTTGGTTGATTGGTGGGATCTAAAAACAAATTTATTTCCTTAATAGACTTTAAGCCGTAAATAGATGATCGACCAGGTTATTTTCGTAACAACAATAATTCCTAAAAAGGAATACTAACCTTTGTGTAATCAACTGTTGGTTCGATGATTGGGATATTAAAGTCACTCATATTACTAAAGCCTTATTCTGGCTTCTCTTCTGTTAAGTATTCGACGAAACAGGTGACAACAAATCATTGCAAAAATGAAAAAATACTCAGGTAGTAATACACATACGTCATTTCCTTGGTTTACTAAATATCAAAATATCATTTATTGTTACAACTATTGTCTAGTATTAGTGCCACCTAGTGTGGTCAATTCCAAACTAAAAATAAACGTTTTCATTTTGGCTGAAGTATGACGTCACAATACGGTAACGTAATCGTCAAATTTCGTAACGAAAAAATGTAAATCAGTGCCATCTAGTGATATTTTTCTTCTCAATTCTCAGCAATCTGGCATCTGGCAATCTCAACTTTTTTCAAAAAGTCGGCAGCCGGCTCCAAACCAAATTTTTTGCCTATACTAGACCAGTCGATGAGGATGCTTTGTAGGGTGCGCGTGTATTACAGTCAACATAGTAGGGAACGCATTTATCTATTGTAAAATACATAGGGTTTCATCTGAGCCACGAGTTTTCTCAAGAATAATCACCCGCTAGATGGCGCTGATTGATTATTGGTAGAGTATATATAGGTATTAAGAAATATATATCTATATATTCGCCATTTTTGTCAAGCATGTGTGATGTGTACTGTACACACACTGTAGAATCATACATTTTTTGTCTCTTTCTTTCCCTGTGCGTGTATTTATATACATATATAGGTCCACAGGTTAACTTAACGTGCAGGTTTAAAGAAAAACATCTGCCTATTTTTCTTGTTCCAAGTCCGTCCATCGATTATTTATTGTATGTTATTTTGAAGACTAATTGTGTTTCGTTGCAAAATATTGACAGAAGCTGTGATAACTACAGGATGGACTCGATGCCGCCTTTGGAAACGGTTTACCAGGCCATCCACACCCTGTACAATGATGATCCCAACCGTGGGGAAAAAGAAAAGGCTGATCTATGGCTGAGGGAGTTGCAAAAATCCGTGAGTATTCGATTATTTTTTATTTGGTGTGGTATTCTGATAACGATAAGTAATCATTCGTTAGCTTTCGTTTGTTTGTTTTTGACGTAATGTCACAATAAAATTTGATTCTTGACCAAATGTCATAACCTGCAAAATCGACTGCTAGGGATTATTTTTTGTCTTTTAGTTAATTATAAATAAAATATTTGTTAAATCTGATTATTTGCTTCTCAGTAGATTGTTGTATGATGCTTACCCCTAAAGAATAAAGAAATTTTATTGTAATTGTACTATTTGTTATTGTTATAAATATCTTCATAATACGTAGTGGTATGAACCACAAAAATTTTAATGTACAATGCAAAATATAACAATCAATATTCCTACGAAATCCATCATAATAGAGATCAGTATAACTAGTTTATTTTGCATAATGTTGATATAAGTGATTACTCATCTATGAGTATACAATTCTTTATGACTTAAAGTAATCAAAATGTTTTAAAAAATTCATCTTGTAGGTATGGGCATGGAAAATTTCAGATGAAATGCTTCAACAAAAGAAGGATATGCAGTCATGCTTTTTTGCAGCTCAAACTATGAGATCAAAAATTCAGCACTGTTTCCAAGAACTTCCTGCAGAATCTCATATTTCTCTCAGAGACTCACTATTGAACCATATATCACAAATTAACAAAAATACAAATACACGGATAGTGACTCAGGTTGGTAAAATTATAAAAAATTGTTTGTTACATATGATAGTTTTATTTTATTAATTTTTGATTGCAGCTGTCTGCTGCACTGGCCGATTTGATACTGCAAATGGCAACTTGGGAACATCCAATTAGAGATTTATTTGAAAAATTCGGTAATGATCCTGAATATCAATGGACACTTTTAGAAATTTTAACAGTTTTGCCTGAAGAAATGGACCCTAGGTATCTAAGACTAGGAGAAAACAGAAGAAAAGAAATTATTAAACATTTCGAATTTTACTGTGACATAGTTTTACAATATTTAGTAAGTATGATTTTTTTTTTTTCCATTATAAAAGCTGTTAAAATTTGGTTGAAGTAAATAACTATTATCTTTTCTTTAAGATTGAATGTCCAAAAAAGGATCAAGATGTTCTTACTTACAGTAAAATCTTGAGGTGTTGTACAACCTGGCTAGAAATTAAAGCAATATCAGTAACTGCTCCACTGTTCCCACACATTATAACCTTAGTATTTGAAGTAAAATAAATTTTATAGCTACTCATTGAACTACTCAAAATTTTTCCTACGAATGACTCATTTACATATATTTCTAGATTTTGCAAAATAACGGGACAGGATCAGATTTACATAAAGATGCCGCTGATTGCATGATCAAGACACTTCAAATACTAGCAACTGATACTTTATTAAAGAGAGATGTCAACACAGGAGATCCAATTTTACCATTACAGCACTTACAACTTGAACTCTTTAATAAAATCGTGAACTTGGAGCAATCTTATCACATGTCTGTTGCTCATGAAGATATGAACAAGTCAGTTTTTAAATATTATTTAACAATTAATGAGTATTATAGTTAAAAGTAATGATCCAACTTGTATTTTAGATCAATAAATTACTGCCACATTTTTACTACATTATCAGACACGTTTTTAGAAACAATTATAAATGGCAGCTTAAACGGAAGACAACATTATGCTATCAAGGCTCTAGATTTTGCGCTAATGTGCGTAGGACATTACGATTATGAGGTAGGTTTAAAAAAATTTTTAGAAATAACATACTATATTACTTATTAATCCGTTATGTTATTCAGGTAGCACATATTACATTTGAACTTTGGTACAATCTTTCAGAAATAATATACCAAAGAGAAAATGATGAACTTTCCATTGTTTTCAAGCCATACATAGAAAGGCTCATCAGTTCTCTTTGCAGACATTGTCAAATGGAACCAGATTATGTAAATATTCAAAATTTGATTCAACAGAATTTTTACTTGATGTGTCCTTACTCATTTTTGTTATATTTCAGCTGGGTCTACTTGAAGAAGGTGAAGGATTTGCAGAATTTAGGAGGGCTGTTGACGAACTAATTAGAGATGTAGTTTTTATTGTCGGAAGTAGTCATTGTTTTAGACAAATGTTTAATACTTTGACTGCTGGGGCTCAAGGTGAGCCAGCCTGGGAAGTAACAGAAGCTGCGCTGTTCATAATGAAAGCAGTAGCTAAAAACATATTACCGTGAGTTCTTTGGCTTAGCTTTAAATTTCATTGATTTATTAGTATTGAATTATATTATTTTTAGTGAAGAAAACGACGTTGTGCCAAAAGTTGTAGAAGCTATCTTAAATTTACCTGACAATACACACATAGCAGTCAAACACACCAGCATTCTCTTATTAGGTGAACTTTGCGAATGGGTTCAAGTTCATCCCCAAACTCTAGGTATGTATAGCCTATGTGCACATTGTAAGTTTAATATGATAATGTATAAAGGAGGAAACAAATTATTCTTTCGTGAGGTAATGAAAGTGATATTTTTTTTAATTTTTAGAGGCCATACTAAATTTTTTACTCAACTGCTTGACTCAAAAAGGATTAGCAGGAGCGGCATCAAATGCTTTACAGAGTATTTGTACAATGTGTTCAAATCATATGGTGTCACATTTTCCCGGATTATTACTAATAGCTAAATCTATAAATACTTTTGAAATTAGTAATCGTGCAGCTACTAGTATCCTTCAAGGTACAGTATTCAAAAATACTTTTTATCGATTGTTCTTTTGATGAAACTGTTTGTGCCATACCTGATAATTGTGTATTCAGGTGTCTTAAACATTTTGAGCAGACTGCCTAATTCCGTTGTTGCTCAATATGTGAAAGAACTTTGTTGGTGTCACTCGAAGCCATTGAACGAGTTGATAGAATGTAGGATGGTTGTTGAGAAAGATACAAAAACAGATCCAGTTATATGGCTCGATAGGTTGGCTGTAATTTTTAGGAATGCAAATCCAATACTTGAAGAAAATGTGCATCCTTGTACAGAAGCTGCTGGAGAGGTAAGTGAATACAATAAGTATTCTTTTCGTTGTTTCATTCCATTTTAACAGTAATATTTTATCTTCAGATGTGGCCAGTCTTGTCAAACACTCTTGCTTTTTACCAGCATGATATTCGAATTATGGAAAGGTGTTGTCGGTGCATAAGATTTATGATTCGATGTCTTGGACAACATTCTGCATTTCTTCTGGATACCCTAGTGAAACAGGTTAATAAAGTTAATGCATAATTTCGGTAATGAAAGAGTGAAACACTAATGATGTTTTAAATAAAAACTTTTTATTGCAGATTATTGAGTTGTACACAATACACCATCATAGCTGCTATTTGTATTTAGGTTCTATACTAGTTGATGAATTCGGTTTGGATGTCAACTACGTTTCTGGCTTACTGGGAATGTTGGAAGCATTTATCGGTCCGGCATTTACATTACTCCAACAAACAGATGGTCTTGTCAATCATCCTGACACAGTTGATGATTTATTCCGACTTTGTACCAGGTAATCACAAAAATTATAAGTGATCAATTCAGCATCTTATACTAAACGATTCTTATATCTTTTAGATTTCTTCAAACTTCGCCTGTCCCTTTTTTACGTGCTCCCATGATAAATGATATATTAGATTGTGCGTTGTTAGCTTGCAGTATACATCATAAAGAAGCTAATGCTTCAGTTATGAAATTCTTTTTTGACCTCATTCGTTGTGTTACTTGTTGCGAAGTAAGTTCTAATTCAACCAAATATGTACACTTCAAACACAAAAATCTTATAACATTTTCTATGGTTTTAGAATGGATCAGACCTTACAGTAAGGCGGCAATTGATTGAAAATATTTTACGTGAAAAAGGACCGGCTCTAGTTACAACACTGATTAATTCTGCCGTTTTTCATTTACCATATTATACTTTATCAGACATTTCTAATATCATTCTTGAATTAAGGTTAATTAGTGAAGAGGTAAATATTATGAAACACTATTATAAATTTTTTTTTATTTAATTCTGTGCTACACGGTAAAATTTACGTCAATATGTTTTCAGTTTCAATCTTGGGTACATCAAGCCATAAATCAAATGCCTACTAAAAACGCTGGTGGAAGTGAGACATATAAACCAGAACAGCTAATGGAGTTTTACACTACCATCACAACGTGAGTAATTACCTCAATTTATGGACTTTTTTTGATAAGGCTTTTCAAACGTTCTTTGTTACTTGTTGTAAATGATGATCGTGAAAAATACACTTGGTTTATTTTTTTCATACTTTCAGGGCAGAGAGTTCAAACGCAGTCAAACGTTCACTTCTAAATTTTATACGTTTGTATAATTAAGCATGGAAAAAATAAGATTTTTCTTATTTTAAGTATGTTTGACGTGGAGTAAAACGGTCACGTGAGTCATAATCACTTTTTGTGAATAAGAAGAGTATTAAAATAACGAGAAGAAAATGTTTTTTAATTTTAATAAAAATGTAATATTTTGTAAGTCTTGCTTTTTTCACTACCCTATAATTTTTATAAACTTTTTCACAAGTGATATAATTACTCCTAACCAGAAATTATATTTATTCAAGTTTTATGAACAGCATTATTAATCAATACACTTTTTGCTCTGAAGTTTTTCTAAAAACTTAAAGAAAATAAAAATCAATAAATTAATTTTTATTTTCTACATTAGAATTCATATTTCTAGTCTTACAGGCATTTGAAAGAAAATTTACTCAGTATATTTGCGTATGACTGAGAAGCTAATATTTAATAAGTTTTTTTAGGACATAAAATTTATACAAAACGCGTCGATTAATGTTCGAAAAACTGTAGCCGCTTATACGTTTCTATCAGAAAGTTTTTGATTATTGGAAATGAACGTAATTAAATAAAAATATTTTCAAAATTATAATAAAGATATAATAAAATTATAATCAAATTTTTTTTGAATAACGACTCTTTTTGTTCTAAGTGACAAAGTAGTGTTTATTTATCACTTGTTGCCAGTAATTTCTTATAAGAAAACTTACTCAAATGTTACTAGCCTCATAGTTAGATAATATATCTATTTTTTTTTTGCAATGTGAGGTAATCAGAGTTTAATTCTTTCTTTTATCCACTTTATCAGAATAATTTTTTTAATGCGCGCGCTTTTAGCCACATTTAATGCGCATTTTCATAAAATGTTGCCTTTTTTTCTTTTCAAGCATGGAAACCTACCCTTAGATATCAACGAGTTATTCACCTGTTCGCACCTTCTTCGCCGTAAGTATTATTTCTATCAACTGTTCGACAGTGAATTTACATCTGATAGCAGCGTGGGTGTATTTTTTCATTAGATGGAATCTCATGGAGGAAACAATTGTAAAAGCAAGTGTGAACATGTAGTACTACTTTATTTGCATCCAAAAGAATGACAGGTGGTGTCCGTTTTTGAGGTTATGCAATTTCCCTCGCAGCCGGCTTCTTCTTTGTCCGAGAGTTCATGTGCCTCTTTTTGGTGACTTTTCTCGACACATCCGTCCATGGCACGTCAGCATCAAGGTTCGTAAAGTTTGTTATTTTTTCTATATTTAATTGGTTACCTAACACATATTTTCGTTCTTACGTAAGTCGTTTTTTTCCTTGCCTGGTAGACATTCTTTATGCAGCCATAAAATAAAAATTATCTACGAGTAGATGCATTGAGGGTGTATTGAATGCTAAAGATTTTTTTCAACAACTTTTTTTTATTAACATGTAAGTACTGGTCCATACACAGCCAGAATACAGTCTCGAATGAGCCTTACTTGATATTGATTTTGTGATGGAAGACTGATGCAACATAGCATTCAAATTTCAAGTTTACTGTATAGTTTTTAAAATGTCCAACCATTAAGTTAATTGTTGTATTCTACTATCCAACGAATGATTTATCAGAATACAAGTTATTTTGCATGTTACTGATTATTTGTAAAGCGATTGTTTCATACCGTTCAAATGCAGTTACACTGCTGAATTTTTCTTTGTTTGAGAAATTACTTATGAAACTTGATCCAATTATGGTATTTGATCGTACTGCCTAAATTCTCTTTAAAGTATGAATTTTTCCTTGCAATAATTGGTATAATCATTAGATAATTAATAATAAATTGTATTACTGTAATCAAAACAATTTATTTCTGATTGTTTCTAATGATTCGCTATGAAAAAAAATGTATGTAAATTAATACTCAAATAGCTTTGTTTTGAAACTGAATACTCATCCAATGGAAACCTGATCCATCCCATTCATCTCAAAAGCATTTCTTCAAAGCGCCCACAACAATAATTTGACCCAAGTCTGTAGTCATCACTATCCAATGTATGTGATACTTGGGTGCTGCAGCCATAAAACCTGCATCCCGCATGTATAAGGTACAGGCTCGTCCCGACTCAGTGGTACTTGTATGTATAACACACCAATACTAAGTACGCGCATTCCCTTCTTTCCGGTCGTCCGTAAACTTTTTGTTCAAAGATGGGAAAGAAGACATCTTGCACCTATACAAAAAAGCAACCCGAAAAAAAAAAGAGCAAAGGTCTGCGCGATGACTAACAGGATTAAGCTCGAGTCGTGTATGGGCATATAATTATGAAAGCCTCTCCCCTTGAAAAATGCACTCTTGGACCGTCTCTTTTTTTTTTTAAATTTTTTTGTGGAACGATAGTACTTATAAGCATGGAGCTCCCTTTTTTTTTAAATGTATCTCGAATACGTATCCTCTCCGGGCATTCCCTCGGCTCCAGGACATTGCCGACGATCCGCAGGCTTGAGTCATCCACGTGAGTCAGTTTTAACAACGTCGGGCCTCTTCGAGCGGGCGGTTGTTGACACCTCGTACATACACATATATGTATACACTTAACGTAGAGTAATATCGGTTTCCAACAAAGGAATTTCGCCCGGTGCGTTGCACCGACTCGCGGGACTGTCGTTGTTGTTCGCTTCGGTTTAGTCAGGAAAGGAGGTTTTTTTTTTTTATTCCAGTGGGAGGGTGACAGGTATGTGAAAAGTGGCATGTTTAAGTGAGAAATTTTGTACTCATCTTTCGTTGAATAATGGAACAATTGCTTTTATCATTTGTTTATATAAAAAATTACTCTACCCATTATATTGTGTTCAAGTACATTATATCTCTTATTATGTATACATATACTTAGTAACGTATACATATACTCACTTGAACTTTTGAAACTGCTCTTTGACAAATGGAAGTTACTCATCGTCAACAGTATTGTTTGCATTGCTGTATGATTATGATTAACAATATCTCCAAAAAATTTATCATTTGCTTAGGAAGAAAAATGTCGCAGTAATTTTGTTTATGATAAAGTTAGAGTAATTTTAAAACACAGTGACCGTGTGACTAATGTTAATTTTTTTTTCTTCTGTTGACTAATTTTTATAGATAGTACAAATCACCAAGTAAGTTCACTGTTATTTACTCTATTGAAGGACTTTATTTATTTTTCAAATGTTACCATGACTTTTCTCTTGTAAGTTCCAATATCTTACTGATTACGAATCTTTTATAAAATTTAGTTCTCCATGGCTTTTATCATTATGCCAATATTGGCTTCAACTCAACGATTTCGAAGAAGAAAAAAAAAAGGCAAAAATTAAAAGTTCATTGGCACTACTCACAGAATTCAAAGTCAGACAAAGCTTGGGTCACGCGAATTCGCGAGAGGGAGAAAAAAAAAATTAACAGCCAACCACAAATTGCAGCAGCCCGACCAGATGCTCCGCAGAGCCCCTCTTGTCCTTCAGACACTCGTTAACTTGTCGAATTCAATCGACGGCACTATTGACAGTTTTTTCATCGCCCCAAGCAAAGCGACACCGTGGCATTTTCAGTCTTACCATTCACCGTAAAAGGAGAAAATATCGTTTCTCGAGACATTATTTTCACAGTGCAAATTCACTTCATCGCTCCATTATGAAGATTTTTCTCGGGAGCCGATTATACCTTGTCGCGATAAAAATTGTTCGTTCGCGATATTCGTATACCCGAGCGTCAAATAATTGCTCAACCCTTGAAAACGACTCGCGCGGACCACTCTATCGGATTAATATGTGTCAGCACGCGGGAAAAACACCCTCAAAAAAAAAAAACAACAACAACAACAATTTATCTCTCAAAAACAACGCACTTTAATCGATTCCACCACCGTTTGTATTACATATAGCCTGCCACTTGACGCTATCGCTATACAGGAGCCATCGAGCCCCCAAATAAAACGCTGCCCTGTGCTGAAGGAAAAAAAAAAAAAAAAAGTGAAAAAACAATACGGGGAGGGAAAAAAAAAAGAAACAAGTCGCGTGTCGCCGGTGACTCCCCCCTCGCCCCTTCAAATATCGACCAATTGTCATCAACCGATCGGCCGCGTACGACACCGCGATGTGTATCCACGGCTTCATGTATACAGCATCGGTTATAGATCCGTCGCGTCGCGCATATATATATATATACGTATATTTATACGAGGAGCATCAGCAACAACCCCCTGATGGTATATATAATATACGTATAGCGGAGTATGCGTGTACGCGAGAGCGTTGCCGGGCAACCAGACAGTCAGACTCTGCGTCTACCGATCTTTCTCTCCTCCGCAGCCGAGCGAAATCCTGCTGGTGTGAGAGAAGAGAGAGGGAGAGAGGATGTGCGCGTCTCTGGTGTACGGCCAGGCGAGCAGTACTCCCCGAGGGGGTGAAGGACCCAGGGTTGAAGCGAAAGAGGCGCAGACACACGCGAGAGGAGGGTGGGATATGGGGGTACATGTGTGTACAGAGATACGCTCCGAGTAGACACATTGTATCGTGGAGGCGGGGGGGCTTGGGGGACCATGGTGTTAGGATGAGAATCGAGAGCTGATGGGGTACTGGTGCAGAGGGAATTGATAGAAGTGAGGGGTTCGATGTGAGTTTGGTTCCCGATTATTATAGGATAAACCACAAATTAGAGGCATCGGAGTAGCTTTACCAAATGCTCAAAGTGATGATAAACTATCTCTTTTTCTCCTTGAGCTCTTTGTCCCCTGTGTATAATGCACTTGTTTTCAAAGTACCGAACAAATTTAACATGCACATTGGAGAGGTTGGATAAAGACTCCCGATTTAACAGGAAGAGATATACAGTCATTCTACATTTTTCGGATCAAAACCAATATTAAGTTCAAAAAAATATGGAAAAATCGAAAATTCTCCGTAGAATTCAATACACTATTTTTAAAACAACGGTGTCTTTAGTTGTTGACGTATATTGCTCTTCGAAACAACAACTTGAAAACATGTAGAAGTCCATCCTTTTGAATGATACAATATATATATATATTTTTTTTTTAATTGTATCCATTCGACCAATTAATTGATGATCAATTACAATAGGTGGTAAAAGTAGCGAGAGATAGTTGAGGGGTAGAATAGAATGTCCGATAAATAAATGCTCGCGAGCGTATTAGCTCGATTGAGGTAGATTACNTGAATATTTATCTAATGTTTAAAATGTAGGTGTTCTTAGAATTTTAAATGCACTGCCTTGTGCCGAAATTGTCAAGTACATGAAGGAACTTTGCTGGTTCCAAGCTAAACCATTGAGTGAATTATTAGAATACAGAATAACTGTGAAAAAAAGCACTAAAACAGATCCAGTTATATGGCTCGATAGGCTAGCTGCAATTTTCAGGAATACAAATCCAATACTTGATGAAAATGTGCATCCTTGTACAGAAGCTGCAGGTGAAGTAAGTGTACCATATAGTAGCTTTAGTGCAAACGTCCAAACACCCAAATAAGGAAAAAACTACATTTTAATGAGTTACTTCTGTTATAATCCTGATGTTTTTTTTAGATTTGGCCTGTTTTATCCAATACCTTTTCTCTTCACCAGCACGACATACGAATTATGGAAAGGTGTTGTCGATGCACAAGATTTATGATTCGATGTCTTGGACAATATTCTGCATTTCTTTTGGACAGCTTAGTGAAACAGGTTAATAAAGTTGCATTATTACATGCATGGTTTTGACAATAATGGTGTGAAATTTCTAATTTTGTTTTAAACACTTTTATTACAGATTATTGAATTGTACACAATACATCAACACAGCTGCTATTTGTATTTAGGTTCTATATTAGTTGATGAATTTGGTTTAGACATAGATTATGTTTCTGGCTTACTGGGAATGTTGGAAGCATTTATCAATCCAGCATTTACATTACTCCAACAAACAGATGGTCTTGTCAATCATCCTGACACAGTCGATGATTTATTCCGACTTTGTACCAGGTAATCACAAAATTAAAATTTTCTATCTACTCAATATATCATACTATACTTTTTGTTTTAGATTTCTTCAAACTTCTCCTGTACCTTTCTTACATGCCTCTATGATAAACAACATATTAGACTGTGCGTTATTGGCTTGTAGTGTAGATCATAAAGAAGCAAATGCTTCAGTCATGAAATTCTTTTCTGACCTGATTCGTTGTGGAAGTTGTTATGAAGTAAGTTAATTATCACTCATTGATTGTTTTTTGTATACAACATTTGGCATATTAACATTTATCATATTTTAGAATAGATCAGACTTTACAATAAGGCGGCAATTGATTGAAAACATTTTACGCGAAAAAGGGCAGACTCTGGTTACAACACTTATTCACGCTGCCGTTTTTTCATTATCTTCTTCTGCTTTACAAGATATTGCTAATATTATTGTCGAATTAAGTCTAGCCAGTAAAGAGGTACGTCAAAAAAAAAAAAAAAATTATTTTTCCCTCTTGAATACGTTTTACATATATTTTTATTGTACAACGATTTTTTTCAGCATATGTCTGCCTGGTTACATCAAGCCATTACCCAAATGCCTACTCAAAATGCAGGTGGTAGTCAAACAGCTAAACCAGAACAGCTTATGGAATTTTACAATGCTGTCACGACGTAATTATCATACGTTACCAACTTATTTATTTATTTTTTCTTTTTTTTTTTAATAGTAACTTGCAAAATATGTATCTATAAAATGAACTGCAAAATTATCAATAAATTTATTTATTTATTTACAGAGCAGACAGTTCAAGGATAGTGGAACGTGCATTAAAGAAATTTACACGCCTGTATCATTGAATCATAAGAAAGTCAAAGAATATTTTTATATCAACTATTTTCGACGTGCAGTAAGATAGATGTGAGGTGGAATTGAAATATCATCTCGTAGACAACAAAATTTATTTTAAAGAAAATATAGACGATTTTCCAATTTTATTCAATTAAGGGAATCATGAATCCCTTGTACCTTGGTTTTATTTTTTACTGTTCAATGTGATAATTTAAAACAAATCTGTACAATGAAGAGTAGTGTATTTTATATTTATAAAGAATATGTGATGTCAGATCACAATGCGTGTATTATATAAACGTAAAAAAGTATACAAACAATTGTTTGTCAGTGTACATTAATACTGTAATTGTTAGCATATATTGATTGAATATGCTATCGTCAAGTTACTGATGATAAATGTTTCAATTTTTTTTCTTGTAAATCATGAACAAACAAATCAATTTTTATAATCGTTTATATGTTGCAAATAATGTCTTTATAGTCCTTTTGGAAACTCGCTCTTAAGGGTAAATGTTGTGTATTGTAAATATGAGGAATAAAAAATTTTTTTTACTAAGTCGTACAAAATTTAATTATTCATCTATGAAAAGCAAGTGTGTATGCAAATCTTAATTTTTCAATTTTAACAGATGTATACATCACAGCCAACCACTTTAACTACAAATTATATTAAAGGGCTCAACTTTCCAAAACAACCACAGATACGACAAGTATACGGATATTAGAATCAGCATGTTGAGTTGCAAGATGAAATTTTATAATTCAAAAATATGATTTTTATACGGATAAAATTTTCATCCATGGACTCGCAGTTTGTTGTACATTTGTACAGTAAACTTTTAATCCTTCTAATTTATTTTTTGGTATTTCAAATACTTGATTTCATCAATGACAACCCAAAAATTTATAACACCCTCGCTCGTGTTTTATTTGTATAACTAGCTTCCGTTGTATAAATTATACACTTGAGCCGGCATTAAAGAAATAGAGATGTAGTTGCGTGTTGAGGGAACACACGTGCACTCACCAACGTCACAGTTATGCTCTAAAGAGATCGTATAGTATAAGTAGAATCAGAAGGGTCTTTTTTTGAGTCTTTAAATGTTTATTAGCATTCGTAATGTATACATATTGCCAGACTAAGTATATTTATACTTTTGGAGGTCAATTATCGGGTACAAGATAAATAGTAAACTTGCCGCAAATAACACAGACAATATCAACTTTTTATTGTCTATTTACAAAATTAGTTGCGGCTGGTTTATAATTGATTGCACGGCTTTACTATAAATAGTAATAATTATTTGGATCAGCGCCATCTAGCGTTGCGGATTTTTGAACTAAAAAGTGGCCCTAAACTTTTGACCCACAGCATTAGCGCTTAGAGCTATTTAGACAATTATAAACCAGCCGCAACTCATTTTAAAGCTTTAAAATGAAAAAATAACAATACGTGTGTTTTTGGCGGCAAGTTAACAATCTATTTTTTACCAAAAATCGACCTCCTATGTATTTATACTTTTAAAGATAAGTTTTCGAATAGAAAATATATTGTTAACTTGCCGCCAAAAACACATATACTGTTATTTTTTTATTTTGTAGCTATGAAATAAGTTGCGGCTGGTTTATAATTGGCTAAATGGCTCTAATCGCTAATGCTGTGGGTCAAAAGTTTAGGGCCACTTTTTAGTTCAAAAATCCTCAACGCTAGATGGCGCTGATCCAAATAATTATCACTAATACTTATAGTAGAGCCATTTAGTAAATTATAAACCAGCCGCAACTAATTTTGTAGATAGAAAATAAAAAGTTGACACGATAAGTGCTATTTGCGGCAAATTTACAATTTATTTAAATTTTTATCTGAAAATCTACCTTCAAAAGTATAGATATACTTCTTATATGGTTTAATAAAATCACCATATGGCATTACTTAGAAGTGATTATTATAATTACTACGCATAACTTCACGTATATATCTTACACCGTGCTCTCTTTACGAGAATGATAAAATCAGAGGCTGTCAGAGATGAGTACTCATGACTCATGAGGGAGCCTGTACATGAGAGACTTGCACTTGCAGATTCAGATTCAGATCAGATCGCCTTAAGCCCGTGCGAGTGCGAGAGAGATGCAAGAATATATATGTTCTCTCTCTCTCGCACTCGCACACGGGCTTGTGGCGATCTGACCTGAACCTGCAAGTGCAAGTCTCCCATGTACAGACTACAGGCTCCCTGAGTTATGAGCTTTATGCGCTTTCGGGCACTCGTATAGTCGTACGTGTGTTTGTGCACTCATACTTGCTCTTGTGCGTGCTTGTGCGTTTTTATGCAGATGTCGTGACCGGGCTTTTGTAGTCTTGCGAGTACAACTGTATAATAGGATTGTATTTATTTGCATTTTTTAATTTGTAAGTTTGTTTGTTTCGTTGCAAAATAAGTATTGACGAAAGCTGTGATAAATACAGAATGGATTCGATGCCACCTTTGGAAATGGTTTATCAGGCCATCCATACCCTGTACAATGATCCTAATACTAAAGAAAAAGAGGAGGCTGATGTATGGCTCAGGGAATTGCAAAAATCCGTAAGTATTCTATTATTTTAAGTGAGTGTGGGACCACTTACGGTAATGATAATTAATAAATGTCAATAAAATCGAAGTTTGTCTTACGTCATAACCTCCAAAATGTACATTCTACAGTGGATTATTTTTCGTATTATTTACTTGGTTGATTGTTATTTGAAAATTTTTAGTTTCCTTAGTTGACAGATAAAAATTAATTCAATACAACGATTATATGTGCGTTATTAGAATTACATTGCATAATTAATGTTGTATGAAATTCTTGAATTTAATTATTATTACTATTTTAAAATAACATTTATCTACTACTTAATTTAAAAAACAATTTTCTAAACAAGGATATAAATATTTTGTGATGTAGGTATGGTCATGGAAAATTTCAGACGAAATGCTTCAGCAACAAAAGGATATGCAGTCATGTTATTTTGCGTCTCAAACCATCAAATCAAAAATTCGAAATTGTTTTCAAGAACTTCCTGCAGAATCTCATGTTTCTCTTAGAGACTCGCTATTGAACCATATATCACAAATCAATAAAAATACAGATGTAGTTATTGTTACACAGGTTTGTCTAGAGAAACAATTTTGATATACCTAATAAATAACCTTTATAGGACTTACTAAGCTAGTCATACTTCATGATTTTCTTCTATTTGACTTCATCTAGTCGAAAAAATTCCAGAATTTTCGATTTTGTTTAAGTAAACCAAATAATATGTAGGATTTTTCTTTAATTACAGCTGTCTACTGCATTGGCCGATTTGATACTGCAAATGGTAACTTGGGAACACCCAATAAGAGATCTATTTGAAAAGTTTGGTAATGATCCTGAACACCAATGGACTCTGTTAGAAATTCTTAAAGTCTTACCTGAAGAGATGAACCCTAGATATCTTAGGCTAGGAGAAAATAGAAGGGAAGAAATTACCAAACATTTCGAATTCTATGGTGATTTGGTCTTGCAATATTTGGTAAATAAGTTAAATTTTCTAGGACAATTTTTTACGGAACCAGTTCAGACTACAGGAATGAATAATCTAATAATTTTTTTTTCTTTTAAGATTAAATGTTCAGAAAAAGATCAAAATCTTCTTACTTACAGTAAGATCCTAAAGTGTTGTACATCCTGGATTAAAATTAAAACAATATCAATAACTGCTCCACTGTTTCCTCAATTTACAGCATTAGTTTTTGAAGTATAATCATTTATTCAGCTACTTACTCAATCTCTCAACATTTTTGATAAAAATGACTCATTAACATACATTTTTAGATTTTGCAAAATAATGTGACAGGGTCAGATTTACATAAAGATGCTGCTGATTTCGTGATTAAGACACTGCAAATACTAGCAATTAATAGTTCATTAATGATAGATATCAACACAGGGGATCCGATTGTACCTTTACAAAAGTTGCAGCTTGATCTTTTTACCAGGATTGTAAATTTAGAACAATCTTATCACATGTCTGTTGCTCATGAAGATATAAACAAGTAAATTTTCAAATACATTTTTTTTTTCTGAAAATATAAGGCTCAATAACGCTCCAAATGGTATTTTTAGGTCAATGAACTACTGTCAGATTTTCATTGCCTTATCAGATGCGATTTTAAAAACAATTGTAAATGGAAGTTTAAATGGAAAACAACATTTTGTTCTTAAAGCTCTAGATTTCGTTCTAATGTGTGTTGGCCATTACGATTATGAAGTAGGTTTAAAAGAATTTCCATACAAATGACATACTTTATTTTTTACTAATTTCAAATTATGTTATCTAGGTAGCACTTAATACATTTGAAGTTTGGTACAATCTTTCAGAAATTATGTATCAAACAGAAAATGATGAACTTTTCATTGTTTTCAAGCCACACATAGATAAACTTATTAGCGCTCTTTGCAAACATTGTCAAATGGAGTCAGATCATGTAAATATACGAAAATCAATTCAACTTTTTTTTTAACAACAAATATATTAATGTGTATTAATTTTCAGTTGGGTGTACTTGAAGAAAATGAAGAATTTGTAGAATTTAGAAGCGCTGTTGAGGACTTGATAAAAGACGTGATCTTTATTGTTGGTAGTAGTCACTGTTTTAGGCAAATGTTTAATGTCTTAATGGATGGATCCCAAGGTGAGCCAGCTTGGGAAGTAACAGAAGCTGCGCTGTTTGTAATGAAAGCAGTAGCAAAGAACATACTACCGTGAGTTTTACGAGTTGCTTCTAATCCGACATGAGATGCATTAAATGATTTTTTTTTTTTTTTTTTTAGTGAAGAAAATGATGTTGTACCAAAGGTCGTGGAAGCTATTTTAAATTTATCTGACAAGACACACATAGCAGTCAAACACACTAGCATTCTTTTATTAGGTGAACTTTGCGAATGGGTTCAAGTTCATCCCCAAACTCTAGGTATGTATAGCCTATGTGCACATTGTAAGTTTAATATGATAATGTATAAAGGAGGAAACAAATTATTCTTTCGTGAGGTAATGAAAGTGATATTTTTTTTAATTTTTAGAGGCCATACTAAATTTTTTACTCAACTGCTTGACTCAAAAAGGATTAGCAGGAGCGGCATCAAATGCTTTACAGAGTATTTGTACAATGTGTTCAAATCATATGGTGTCACATTTTCCCGGATTATTACTAATAGCTAAATCTATAAATACTTTTGAAATTAGTAATCGTGCAGCTACTAGTATCCTTCAAGGTACAGTATTCAAAAATACTTTTTATCGATTGTTCTTTTGATGAAACTGTTTGTGCCATACCTGATAATTGTGTATTCAGGTGTCTTAAACATTTTGAGCAGACTGCCTAATTCCGTTGTTGCTCAATATGTGAAAGAACTTTGTTGGTGTCACTCGAAGCCATTGAACGAGTTGATAGAATGTAGGATGGTTGTTGAGAAAGATACAAAAACAGATCCAGTTATATGGCTCGATAGGTTGGCTGTAATTTTTAGGAATGCAAATCCAATACTTGAAGAAAATGTGCATCCTTGTACAGAAGCTGCTGGAGAGGTAAGTGAATACAATAAGTATTCTTTTCGTTGTTTCATTCCATTTTAACAGTAATATTTTATCTTCAGATGTGGCCAGTCTTGTCAAACACTCTTGCTTTTTACCAGCATGATATTCGAATTATGGAAAGGTGTTGTCGGTGCATAAGATTTATGATTCGATGTCTTGGACAACATTCTGCATTTCTTCTGGATACCCTAGTGAAACAGGTTAATAAAGTTAATGCATAATTTCGGTAATGAAAGAGTGAAACACTAATGATGTTTTAAATAAAAACTTTTTATTGCAGATTATTGAGTTGTACACAATACACCATCATAGCTGCTATTTGTATTTAGGTTCTATACTAGTTGATGAATTCGGTTTGGATGTCAACTACGTTTCTGGCTTACTGGGAATGTTGGAAGCATTTATCGGTCCGGCATTTACATTACTCCAACAAACAGATGGTCTTGTCAATCATCCTGACACAGTTGATGATTTATTCCGACTTTGTACCAGGTAATCACAAAAATTATAAGTGATCAATTCAGCATCTTATACTAAACGATTCTTATATCTTTTAGATTTCTTCAAACTTCGCCTGTCCCTTTTTTACGTGCTCCCATGATAAATGATATATTAGATTGTGCGTTGTTAGCTTGCAGTATACATCATAAAGAAGCTAATGCTTCAGTTATGAAATTCTTTTTTGACCTCATTCGTTGTGTTACTTGTTGCGAAGTAAGTTCTAATTCAACCAAATATGTACACTTCAAACACAAAAATCTTATAACATTTTCTATGGTTTTAGAATGGATCAGACCTTACAGTAAGGCGGCAATTGATTGAAAATATTTTACGTGAAAAAGGACCGGCTCTAGTTACAACACTGATTAATTCTGCCGTTTTTCATTTACCATATTATACTTTATCAGACATTTCTAATATCATTCTTGAATTAAGGTTAATTAGTGAAGAGGTAAATATTATGAAACACTATTATAAATTTTTTTTTATTTAATTCTGTGCTACACGGTAAAATTTACGTCAATATGTTTTCAGTTTCAATCTTGGGTACATCAAGCCATAAATCAAATGCCTACTAAAAACGCTGGTGGAAGTGAGACATATAAACCAGAACAGCTAATGGAGTTTTACACTACCATCACAACGTGAGTAATTACCTCAATTTATGGACTTTTTTTGATAAGGCTTTTCAAACGTTCTTTGTTACTTGTTGTAAATGATGATCGTGAAAAATACACTTGGTTTATTTTTTTCATACTTTCAGGGCAGAGAGTTCAAACGCAGTCAAACGTTCACTTCTAAATTTTATACGTTTGTATAATTAAGCATGGAAAAAATAAGATTTTTCTTATTTTAAGTATGTTTGACGTGGAGTAAAACGGTCACGTGAGTCATAATCACTTTTTGTGAATAAGAAGAGTATTAAAATAACGAGAAGAAAATGTTTTTTAATTTTAATAAAAATGTAATATTTTGTAAGTCTTGCTTTTTTCACTACCCTATAATTTTTATAAACTTTTTCACAAGTGATATAATTACTCCTAACCAGAAATTATATTTATTC